ATCCAGTTTAGACAAGTGAAGTTTTATATGTTATGTTGGGACTGGCATGCAAAGAGCTGTGAATGCAACAGTAAGAAGTTTGAATTTTATCTTATAGCCAATAGGAATCTTTTGAACATTTTCTAAGCAAGCAAAATATCATCAAAAATGTTTTATAAATGTAATTTTATGGCTGTGTGAAGGACCATTTGAAGGAAGAAAAAAAGGAAGAGACAGGAAAGGTGGCCAGTTAGGAGGCCAATTAAAATAGCCTAAGCAAAAAGCAGTGAGAACAGAGTAATGTTAGTGAGACAGTAAGGAGGGGATGGAAGGTGATGAGTGCTGCAGGCATTTCATATAGTCCTTTAATATTAGCATGATAGAGGGCCCCAAAGATCCCATTTCTAGCTCCACTAAGTCACATAGCCCCTAGCAACTGAGTTAGGATTAGAACACAAGGTTCACTCCCAGTTCAGTGTTGTGTCTGCCACAGAGCCTCCACAGCTTTTTTTTTTTTTTTTTTGGATGTGGGTATATCATCTCTGGAAGGAGGAAGTGAGACTTTTTTTTAAAAGTATGGTAATAAAAGGGAAATAAAGAGAATGGTATCTTGATAGAGTAGTATGGAGAAGGGAAGATACTACTTACTAGTTAGGTGGTCTTGGGCAAGTTATTTGAAGACTCTAAAGCCTCAGTTTCCTCACAACAATAATTTTCCTCATAATAATTTGAACTCATTGGGTTTGTGAAAAATATATGAGAGGATATATTTGAAGTACTCACCACAGTTGTTGGCACATAGTAGGAACATAATACATGTTTTCAAAAATTATTATTGTTATTGATGTTTTTTATTGTGATGTAGGACTCTTGGGGATGTTTTAACGCAGCGATAAAGGAACCAATGTAAAATGTTTTAATGCAGAGATAAAGGAACCAATGTAAAGGAGAAAACTAATATAATAAAGTCCCAGAGGAGAAAGAGAAAAAAGAGGGGAAAGGACTTTAGTGGAAGGGTCAGCTTTCAAAAGGAAGAGGCATACTTCTTTCTGTAGGAAAGGAGAAAAAGTGAGAAAATGAGAGCAATATGGAATTTTAAGGTCAGGAACATGAACTTGAGGGTTTTGTAAATGGCCTGAATCTTCTTCAAAGATTGTGAGAAGAGTTACAGAGATTAAGAGAAATATATATGAGTTTGAATTTTTGAGGATAAGTGGGAAAAGTCTGTAACAGCTCCTTGGAGACTGTATAAAATAATTAGCTAAGGAACGAGGAGCTACTGTTCATGGATATTGAGTTTCAGTTCTGTTAGCTGAAAGAAGTTTTAGAGATGGACTATGGTGATGATTGCTCAACAATGTGAATGTAATTCATGCAACTGCACTGTATACTTAAAATGGTTAGAATAGTAAATTTCGTTGTGTATATTTTACCACAATGTTGAGAATTATTTTAAGAAAGATTTTAAAGAATGGGAGTGGGAGAAGTAGAAAGACATGGCAGGAGGTTGTTTGCAAATAGGAAATTCCAATATCCCCCATTCTGGAGATAGAGGTGCTCTGATGATGTAGTCAAAACAAGGTTTTGTGGATGAGCTGTTGGAGAAGAATATTAAAGAATCCTCGAAGCGGGCACTCAGGTCATCAAGACAGATGACAGTGAAGCAACATGGAACAGAAAAGGACATCAGGATCTCTGGTGGCCAGAATGGAAAGAAATTAACATAAAAAGTTGGACCCAGGGCTGGGGTTAGCAAGAGCAGTGGAAAATGAAAAACGTGTCACATTTTCTATTGTTCCTGGAAGATGGGCACACAAGGAAAAGGAGTGGGTTTTGATAATAGGACATCACCAGGAGAAAGATACATTTTAGATAATAAAAGGAAATAGAAGGAGTTTATTTAAGAAAAAAAGGAAGGAGTGGGTAAGGAGTGTACATGTGTGTGTGTGTATGGGGGGGCTTTCCAGAGGAAATGACATCTATTTAATTACTAGTTTTTAAATCTGAAAGAAAATTTTAATCTATCAAGAAATAGTATCTTAAATAGAAATTCATTAGTTGGTAATTGCTGTTTGAGCAACAACAACAAAAATATATGGCGCATATGTAGTCCTTTCCAGAGCTGAAATATGTGTAATTGCCTCTTTGGCTGGAGAAGACTTCTAGAAACTTATATTCAACAAGCGCCGAGTGCTCGTTATTTGCCATGTATTCCATATTGAACTACGTATGCCATTGGCATTAACCCCATGGGACTCTGCATGAAAATTTGCATTTTACTTTGTCATATTATCTACATTTGACCAACTGGAAAATCATTTATTGAATCATTTTATTCTCTTATGTGTCAGACTGTGCCCTGTGATTAGCAGTTTCTCTCTTTTAAAATACCAATACCCATAAGAATGTTAAGTCGGCTGTTGGTTTTTCTTACCTTATTGTGAATTTTACTTTTAAAACAAATTTATTTAATCAGTTTGATTGCCTGTGAGGAGGGTCTTGTTAAAATACAGAGTTTACAAGAAATTTTTATTAAAAACACATGTTCATTACGGAAAATTTGACAATATGAAAATTATAGAAAATTAGAAGTTCAAACTTTGATGTCCTAGTAAATAGTTAAGTGCTCTGAAAAGAACCATGGCTAGTAATCATTGTAAGGAAATCCTGTCTCCCTGAGATCCTGAGGTCACAGATGATGCTGGATTTGTATCTCTTTGTACTACAGCACAGAGTGCTGCCTCATAATAATAACGATAATAAATCAAACACCTGTGCTGAGCGAGGTGCTGGGGATACAGTACTGAACAAAGCAAACTATTTTTTGCCCTTCTAGAATTTCCTCTCTTTGGGAAAGGTACGATATTAGGTAAATAATTATACAAATAAATCATTATGAAAAGTCATAAATAAGAATTAGTCTGGTAAAGGAGTAGAAGGGTGTGAAGGTAGTACGGTCACAGAAGGTGGCATTTAAGCTATACCCAAAGGGTGTGAAGAACGTATGGAAGGGAGGAGGGAGAGGGTGGCTTCTAGGCAGGAAAAACCTCAGGGGCAAAGGCCCTGACAAAAGTTGTAATGTTTAGGGAACTAAGTGGGCCAGTGTGTTTGGAGCAGAGTGGTCAATGAGGAGACTATAATGTAAAGGGAGTGGAGATGGAAGGGGACAGACATGGGGGCAGGGAGGGAGATGAGGAGCAGGAAGAGGCTGTGTCCCTTTTTGAGGTCAGGAAATAGAAGCTTAGAGAGATTAAGTGTCTTGCAAAAGGCCACATAGCTGATAAGTAGCAAAGCCAGAATCTGAAATCAAGCCCATCTGGTTTTCTTTTATTCTGTGGAGGTCTTGGTAGAATGAGGTGAAACTGAATTCCTGGGCCTTAAATTCCATTCGCTGCCTTGTCAAGCTCGCATGTTCTTTCATGGGCAGAGGATCTGTGAGGGTATAGTGGGGTTGTAGAAACCCATTGTGTGGGTACTAGCAAATTACCGGAAGAAGACAGTGCCCCCAAACTGGTCCTGGCTTGTAGAAGGGGAGGAAAATAGGGTATATGACTAAACTTGGCAACACTATATGACTTCATTCTGGGAGATTTTGCAGGAAAGCAGAAAGAAGAGGGTGAGAAATTAGGG